AACAGCACGTTTCCAATTATCTCTTTTGATTGTCTTATCATCCAGCCTTACATATAAAATATTGGATGTTATTGGCGAATGACATTTTGATACAATTTCATTTACCCGCAAAGTCATGCTACCACGTAATGGAAAAGAACTCCAAACGACATGGCCATTATGGTGGCAGACATGCTACCACGTAATGGCATCAAATTGAAGCTCCTTGCAGTGAAACTTCATCACGTGATAGATATCAACATTGTATCAACATTTGTATTAAGCTGTGTTGGGAGTGTGCCTGGCAATATGGCCACAAACAAAACCTTTTTATTCGCGGTCTCAGATTCAAACGATAAAAGTAGCGGTGAGATAAATTATTCTCCATCTTACTCTTTGGGAATAATGGCTTAATTTATCCTCCGCGTCGACGTGTACAGTCTCACTTAGGATACATCGAGATGTATTCTTTAGTGGCGTCAAACTGTATTCCCTCTCTCGAGTTTTAAAGTGCCGATACGATGCTCGTGTATCACGATGCTACGAACGTTGCACCCTGAACTGGCCCCAATGATGGTTTTCACAGCCACTGTACCAAACTGCAGAGACAAGAAATGCAATAAAATATACCGTTATGCGTGCCGCCCCTAGCTATACTTAGCGCTGTAAATATCCATTTCATGTGTCTTTTTATGACAATTTTGATTGACAGTACGAAAAATAACAAACGTCTAAGCTGATGTCAGTTTTTGTTGTAGTCATATGCTGTAACCGACAAAACTTCTCAGTTTTTGTTGTAGTGATTGCCTCATGTCGAACTATCAACGCAATTGGGATATGGTGACCTACAGCATGGGATACGATTGCACGCATCAACCAAGGTCTGTGTGCGCGCGTGTGTGTGTTTACTTGTGTGCGTAATATAGTAGGTAGGCAGCCCGCATCAACAAGCACCCCCCTGTGTGTGTGTGTGTGTGTTGTTGTTTTTTGCGGTCGAACGTGCCTGTGTGCGTAATACAGTAGGTAGGCATCCAGCATCCCCACGCACCCCCCTCCCCACTCCACCCCCTTCACGTTCCGCACCCTCCCGACACACACTCAGACACTCATCCATCTGATAACACAACAGCTGCTAATTGCTTCCATACCTTCCTGCCATACCAAACTGAAACAGATCACGAGTCTCCAGTCGGTTAAACTCTTGGCTCAAGTAGCGAAATAAACGCTGATTGGGACAATAACAAGTCCAGTTTCTCTTGAGCTTGATCACTGTCCTAATAAATAATCCATCGATCACGTTTCTGCTGAGATGCTGCCTTACTTTCTGGACAGTCACGTTCTGTCAGGAAAGCTATAAATCTAACTGCTACTGGTTACATGAGTTTGACATTACTGTAAACGCCGTGTAGAAGCATTGGTCATCCAGCTGACAATGGTCAGCACTTTGATAACGACCCTTTGTGACACAGATTGTTGTGAGAGGAGGTACGGACCAACGGCAATTCACTGCCTCATAGGCGGATCTAGAGGGGGAAAAAGGGATGCGCACCCCCTTTTGTATTGAAAGTTTATTAAATGACCATTGAAACTCTCGTGAAAATGAAGTGTGCACCACCCTCCACCCTCTTCTCAAGAGTGTGCACCCCCTTTCTCAAAAAGCTGTATCCGCCCTTGTGCCTTATCAGAGACCATATACTCTATTATATGGTCTCTGGCCTTATGCACAAACACGGTTGAATTTGGGACGATTCGATAAAGTAGGAGGGATATGAAACATTTCTGTAAGATTCTTTTGTCCAAGGTTACCAAAATTATTTGCAATTTATAATATAAAACTTTCGTCCTTAGCTTTTCCATTTTACGCATCTTACAAAACGGGTTAACACTGGTCTTCATCAACAAATGCTTGTAGTATGAGGCGACTAACGGGATCAGTTGCCCACGAGCCGATTTGGTTGATGCATGTCATCTAATCCCAAATGTATAGACAGATGCCCATGATGTTTATCATATGATGGTCCAGTCTCGATTATTTACAGACAGCAGTTATATAAATCCTACAAAACCGCCGTTCTCTGGAACCAGAATTGCGTCTAACGGTTTAATGCGTTAATAAGATGAGCTACAGCTGAATCGAGCCACGACCGAGTTACATGATCTAACTCTGACCTTGAAAGTTTGATTCTTGTTCTACAGATAAGGTTAATCTTATGTACATAATGCTGTGTGATTCCCTTAACGATCTGTTTATCACTGTATGAAGGTCACTTGTGCGATGATGACTCACAGAAACACGCGACAAGCAATGTCAAGATCAACCTTGAAGTTGCTGCTGCTGCTGATGATGTCGTGTTTCTCTGGAATACACCACTGTGGTAGTGAGGGGGTGGGAGCAACTGGTTATGAAAGCATAGCACATGGTATCAGAGAGCGTGTGATTATTTAAATGAGTTTATGAAAATAGCTTTGATCGAAGGACTCGGTGCTGACAAATGTCTTGTTTATATATTTGTGTGGCTATATCTGATCTCGAGATGAATCGCAAAAGTGTAGCATTGAAAAAGGATATAAATACATTGTATCTGATGAAACACAAGGGTGTAGCATTGAAGAATCATACAAACTGCCATTATGGTGCTGGAGGGTTACGCGTGTCTTAGGGCTGTGTGTGTGCGCGAGTGTGCGTGCGTGTGTGTGGATGTAGTGCTATTCTGGGCAAAGCTGGTTTTAAACACATATTACACGTGTGTGTATGTAGGGCTATTTTGAATGAAACTGAATCATGTAGGGAGGTGCACGTGTGTGCAGGCCTTTGCGACACAATGCCGCTTTTGCATAACGAAGTGTAAATGTGTGTCAAAAGGCTATTCTAAGCAATGCCTGTTTTGAACACGAATTACTCGTGTGTATGTAGGGTTGTTGTAAACAACAGCAGCTTTATACAGCGAAGTGCACGTGGGTGTGGTTATACTAAATAATTGCGGTTTATATAATATAGCGAAGTGCACGTGTATGTAGGGCTATACTAAATAGTTACGGTTCTCTATAGCGAGGTGCACGTGTATGTAGGGCTATACAAAATAATTTCGGTTCTCTATAGCAAAGTGCACGTGTATGTGGGGCTATACTAAATAATTGCGGTTCTCTATAGCGAGGTGTACGTGCATGTAAGGCGACACTAAATAATTGCGGTTCTCTATAGCGAAGTGCACGTGTATGTAGGGCTATACTAAATAATTGCGGTTCTCTATAGCGAAGTGCACGTGTATGTAGGGCTATACTAAATAAAAGCTTTTTTATAAAGCGAAGTGCATGTGTGTGAGGGGCTATCCAAAATAATTACGGTTCTTTATAACGAAGTGCACGTGCATGTAGGACTATACTTAAGTATGACACTTTTACATGAGGAAGTGCACGTGCATGTACGTAAGGCTATACTATAACACTGCCGGTTTCATATAGCGAAGTGTACATGTCTGTTGGGCTATTCTAAATAATGCGGTTTTATGTATGAAAGTGCACGTGTCTGTGCGTACTGCTATTCCAAATAATGATTGGAATTTGAAATTGTAAGACATTTTGAAACTGCTGGATCGAGTTGAAACCTTTGAGTCCTCTACCCCAAAATCTGAATACTCTCGGGAACTCACCGAAACAGGCATGTCGTGAATAACAAAGGGGAGATATCTGTCCAATTCTAACGTTGTATATGAACTATGATTGACGTCACTCCACAGACGTCCATTTCACAGCTTTTGGCTTCCCATGGCTTGACCATGACGTCAGACTCACCATTGTCTCACGGGCACGTATAAAACGCTGACAGTCCATGATCAATATTGAAACAGATGTAAAGCATGATTCACGACTCAAATTTGAGAACTGTGACGCATTATCTCGGGCAACCATGCTCTTTTCAAAACAGACAATATACGGATTATGAAGTTTTCAAATACATTTCCAGCCAAACCCTGAACTGTATACTTACTAATTAGTTAAACGGCATGATGCCAGTTCTGCAACCTAAGAAGATCTGGGTTAGAATTGGCCCCTCTTCAAAGCCACGCTTCCGGTGTAATTAGAGGCGACACACGAGACGTTGCTCGCTGTTTTGATGCATGTCATCGAGTCCTATTTCAGTAGATCGATGCTCATGATGTCAATCACTTGAAAAACAGACTCATGTGTATCAAATATCTTGAATATTGCTCCTGTGGCGTTAAAGAACAAACAAACATATCTCACTTTCAAGTCGTTAGATAAATAGATAAATTTCAGTAGGTCGATGCTCATGATATGAGTCACTTGAAAATCCGACTCATGTGTATTCAAATGCTGGAATATTGCTCAGTGCGGCGTAAGTCAACAAACAAACATTTGCCTTTTTGTATAGAATAGATGACCAAGAAGTAGATCCCTGAACAGACGTCGTGCATCACCCGCACCGAGGGAAATCCAATGCCGCGGGACTGTCACATGACCAGATTGATACAAGCCCGCAGAATAGCCTTGGCACTGCTTGCAGGAGGCGTCTCATGGGAATAATCGCAGACAACAGAGCCAAGGGCATTAAAAATACTGGAGATCGGCGCTAGCTCAGACTGCAAAACAATTTATCGTTATCTAGATTGTAAACATGTCTTTTGTATCGAGACACTGAAGTGTGGGGAATCGAACCCGGGTCTTCGGTGTTATGACTGAAGTGTACCTGTGGTGCTGCAACAGATCAGCTATCGTTATATGAGTGTGAGTGAGTTTAGTTTTACGCCGCACTCAGCAATATTCCAACTATATGGCGGCTGTCTGTGAATAATCGAGTCTGGACCAGAAAATCCAGTGATCCATAGCATGATCATCGATCAACGCAATTGGGAGCCTGACCACCCGATCCCGTTAGTCGGCGGTGTGACGAGCGAACGCTTTTACCACTAGGCTACCCCTGCACTCACTAAGTAACTAACTCACTCACTCACTCGATCCTAATCCTGGAAATGGTCTTGAACTGGTGCTTGTTTCTGGTCTTATTCCTCATCTTTACCTTGGCTTTGGTTCAGGTCTTGATCGAAATCTTCATTTTGCTTGTGGTCCTGATCTTTGTCCCGATCGTGATCTTCATTTTGGTTGAGAGCCTTGTTCTGATCTTTGTCCCGATCGTGATCTTCATTGTGGTTGAGAACCTTGTTCTGATCTTTGTCACGATCGTGATCTTCATTTTGGTTGAGATCCTTGTTCTGATCTTTGTCACGATCGTGATCTTCATTTTGGTTGAGATCCTTGTTCTGATCTTTGTCCCGATCGAAATCTTCATTTTGGTTGAGATCCTTGTTCTGATCTTTGTCCCGATCGAAATCTTCATTTTGGTTGAGATCCTTGTTCTGATCTTTGTCCCGATCGTGATCTTCATTTTGGATGAGGTCTTGGTTTTTGTATTTATCCAGATCGAGATCTTCATTGTGGTCCTTGTTCTGATCTTTGCCCAATCTTGTTCAATTTATAAACACACTGGACCTTGTGTTTTCACACATACATTTTTATATTTTTAGTAATTCATTCATTTCTATAGATATATATGCCATGAAATTCTAATCACTTGCCTATCGAATGAATAGGCGGTTACAACTTCATTCCTCGCCAGCGTTATGCCGGTGGATATTAACTATGTAACGAAAGTATCACGAAGAACAGACTCGAGTGATATCTCTGACTTATAGTTATAGTTGATGTGGTATTATCTGTGATTTTGCAAAGTGACCTATAAACTGCGTAAAGTTAATAGACAATAAATTCCCTGGTCGGAGTCAGCTGTAATAACAATAGCATCAGCATAATGCTTTATCTATATACCGTTTTCAAAGTTGAACACTAGTAGCTGCGCCTAGGCTAAACAGTCTTATGATACACAGTGAAAAGATATTAAATATTTTCATTGTTATTATCCGTAAATGTATATACAGTGCAAAAATACAGAAAACAGCTAAACAATAAATCAATTGTTATAAACAACTTGTGAAAAATGATTCGTTAAAACATTTTGTAAACAAATATCTTTCATCACATAACAATATGGCAGTCATCTGAATTCTAACAACAGCTCTGGATTCGGCATTGTGTTCACCATGGAATAGCTTATTTGAGAGAATGACGAAAATGAAGTTAAAAAGGGTCATTACTAATTTGTTGTTCTAGGGATAAATAAAAACATTGATGCTTTACAAATATACTTGGCGATGGCGATGTATCAGTGTTAGTGAAATGGCTTTACAGTCAGTAAATTGTATTGAAATGGGTTTACAGTCAGTAAATTGTATTGACATGGCTTTACAGTCAGTAAATTGTATTGAAATGGGTTTACAGTCAGTAAATTGTATTGAAATTGGTTTACAGTCAGTAAATTGTATTGAAATGGGTTTACAGTCAGTAAATTGTATTGAAATGAGTTTACAGTCAGTAAATCGTATTAAAATGGGTTTACAGTCAGAAAATTATATTGACATGGGTTTACAGTCAGTAAATTGTATTGAAATTGGTTTAAAGTCAGTAAATTGTATTGAAATGGGTTTACAGTCAGTAAATTGTATTGAAATGGGTTTGCAGTCAGAAAAGTATTGCATCGAAATATGCATAGCCCTTAAATTCGCGTATTGAAATAGGTTTACAGTCAGAAAATCGTCGTAATGAAATGGTTTGCACTCAGGAAGTTGTCGTAATGAAATGGTTAACAGGTAGAAAACCGTCTCACTGAAATGGTTTACAGCCAGAAAATCGTCTTTTTGAAATGGTTTTCAGTAAAAGATCGTCGTATTGAAATGGTTTACAGTAAGAAAACCGTCGTATTGAAATGGTTTACACTCGGGAAGTCGTCGTATTGAAATGGTTTATACTCAGGAAGTCGTCGTAATGAAATGGTTTGCAGTTAGAAAATCGTCTTATTGAAATGGTTTACAGTAAGTAAATCGTCGTTTTGAAACGGTTTACAGTCAGGAAATCGTCTTATTGAAATTGGTTTACAGCCAGAAAATCGTCGTATTGAAATGGTTTACATTTACAAAGTCGTTGTATTGAAATAATTTACAGTCAGAACATTGGAAAGGGTTTACAAAAGCCGCCATACCGAAACAGTACAAATGCCTTGTGAGATCCTAATGTCTTGCTCTTCTTGTCTATAACTGGAATGTCTGGGTTAGACTCGTATGTCTCCATCCATATATTAACCCCCTTTCTGGGAAGTCTTATAATCCAAGTGCACCAGATGCACAGAGCCACGTCCTTCATGAAAGCCATTCCGGTAGGATGTGGCCCTGAAACGCCAACGTTGCCTGAGCGCGACATGTTTACCATCAAGCAGACATGACAAATACACATTCTTGTCCTCAGTTGCAGCTGCAAGTTTCAGATTGTTTTTTAAATTAGAAAGCAGCTTATACCAGGATCGAGGACGCGTAAGTACGAAGTGACATAAACTATTGAACCAGTGCCATTTCTTCAGTAAAGAGCCATGAATTATAGTTTGTTAAGCGTGTAGTTAATGTGTAAATGTCCCGTTCAGAACATATCCTCTTTAAAAATGGTAGGGGAACCTGAACTTTCAATTTGGATAGGAAGTGTAACAAACTTGTCAAAGGCAGAAATCTTATGAACGCACCGCCATTTCTCTTTATCACCACCCCTGAACACAACGGATGGGATGCACGTGCATAGCGCAGTAGCTCCATACACGTGCATGGGGTGTCATTCTTGATTTGACGATTTTCAGGAAGGTTGCTAAATCACTGTAGACCATTAATTTCGACAATCATCTTGCATCACATAGTAGTTAGTGTTTCTTTCTAGCCGTTTTTTGTTTGAAAAATGAAATCGTACACATGCATATTTCACGTCATACACCAATCATCTTTCAAAAACGATTACTGTACAAAGCACTTTGGTCATAAGGAAGTGCAACTGGTGATGCACTCTCGAAACATTCATTGTTATCATATCGACATTGATTGACTCCGATATGTATTTCAATTTTTTCAATCTTACGTTTTTAAGAGTATATGTAAGTGAGTGGTAGGGTTTAACGTCAACTTGAGCAGTATTTCAGCAACAGCAGAAGACACATTTTGTAAGGTTTTCTGGTATTGTACTCAAATGGGAAATGAATATGTTTCATCGTTGTGAACGAGCACTGATCACACGCTCGTTCGAATGTTGTTCGAAACAGATGAATATGTATATTAGTAACTGGTTGCACTTTAAAAGCTGAAATATTACCGTTAGGACCTCTTTTAACAATTTAAGGGGCAACTGGAAGTTCTGGCCCCGATTTCTCAAACTAAACTTAGGCCTGAGTTTTGACTTAAGTTACAGTTTTTACTCAAATTTGAAAAAAAGGCATTTCTCAGAAATAACTGAAAGCGATATTAAACTCAAACATAGTAGACAATCTGAGTTTGTTGAATAGAATACTTAAGTTGTTTGGGCCTTTTTATTTTAAAAATGCAGCCGAGTTAAAAATTCAGCTGTTTCAAATTGTCAAACTCAGTTTGATGCAACAGTACAGCGTTAGTCAGTGATACGCCAATGTGTGATTTTGCATCAAAATGTAAAAATGAAATGCAGACAATGCAATGAATTTAATGAGACTGTCCAACACGTTGTCATGGATGCCCAGCGTTGGCACAAACACAGAATCTTCAGTGACATCATGGCGTAGCTCGATGCTTTTGTTACGGAATGCTTTCGGGTTTGACACAGACGTTCATACAGATCATCTAGAGAACATCATGAAATTTGGAATAGACCTGTATAGCCTCCGCCATATCCGGGCCAACAAACCTGAACTTGACATTTTGATATTATCCAAATATTAGCAATTTATATCACTGAACCCTTGTCCCCCGACACTAATGCGATTCACGCCCTTTTCTTGGAGCTTAAGGTTTGGTACTTCACAATCTTTTGACTGACATGTTTAGAATACACAGATTTGCTTCCATGAACACAGCCACTCGGTCACTCTGGGCACTGCAGCAGGCTGCAGTGTTGAAGCATCTTCACAACTTCCGAAACGTCCCTTGTGGGTTCGACTCAGCAGCGCTTTTGGAAAAAATCCCATTTCTGTCTGGGTTGGAGGTCCCTGAGCTGATCATAAGCCTTAAACAGCCTGATTGTCCCAGGATCGCCCGAACCCTCTTTGCACCAATTGGTTATGTAATTTATTTATTTTTAAATGTCACAGCGGTTGGGAAAATGGATGTAAAGAGAGACGTGTTAACTATCAGTATCACAGAAATCCGTTATATGTTATACGCGCTATGCCATACTATAACCATTAGGCTCCATGCCGTTGAAAAACGCATCACTACGTGGGCTGCCCGCTCTGAAGTCTCATGTGTTCGGATTTAGCTGTAGTACGCCCCCCTTCTGCTGGCGACAGTTGGCCTTTGAAACCGTAGCAAGGTCCTGACATTTGTGACTTCTGTTGCAAAAACCTCTAACGTGATTGATATTCACGTGCACTTGATCATGGCCATGAAAAGTGATTGTAATATTAAGCTTCACTGGAAATTAAGCTACTTTATATCGAACGAGACTGATTATATATGTGTTAAAAGACAAGCACTTTCACGCATATGCACATGCATCCACACACACACACACACACACACACACACACACACACACACACACACACACACACACACACACACACACACGCACACGCACACGCACACGCACACGCACGCAAACATGATATTGATGTTATTAATGCGAATTTACATCGTTTTCAAGGTCACATGAAACTGGCGACAAAGCTTTTGGACAACAATGGGCATTGATGCTGTATCCAGTGATAGAGCTGGATTTGGTGAATATGCGATGCCTACATATATCCGTTCGATCAATGAAGTAAAAATCTTCACGGAGTGACACCGCGTACGATAATATCATCTACACATTTTGTGGACTGCGGGAATATCGTTGCCACCATGAATAGGCTTTGTGCTCAAACATCGATTATAACACGTACATCGCAATATGACGTTGCTGCTATACGTACACGCGAAATACCAATGCAATTGCCATTTATATCGCATTTATGACAACATGTGTTTGAACATGTGAGAGTATTCTACTTCACAGGTGGTATCACAAACACATGCACCGGCAAATCAGTTGTTCAACTGACAAAGCCAAATAGCCAAAAAGCCAAAAGAAACAAATGGTAACATTTAAATTAGAAAATAACAGCGGACGCATTTGTTGTCACTGGTAATTTCGTTTAAATGTTGACTGCAAAAATATGTATCTTTACCAGGGCATTGAATATTGAAAGCAAACAATTTAAATTACATCAGACTCCCGTGGCTGTGTATGCAGCGCAACCCGCAATAATTTGCCACATGTCAAACATCCACGCTGATCGCTATTAAAGAACTTGTTGGCGAATTTGCGTCAAGGCTGTAGTATTTTCAAAAAGCATTTGGAGGATATCATATTTTTATCGGGTCTATTTGTGTCAGCACCGCCATATTATGTTGTATCGAAGAACAGTTCTCTTCTCTCAAAGGGGTACATCCTTGGCTTCCACCCTGCCTCGGCGGACGATTAGTCTCTGATTATAAAATATAAATTTAATGGAAACAAACATCTTAATTTAAATTGAAAAGGAGCCCCTTGAAGTGGGATTTGATTGGTTGGTTTGTTGTTTAACGCCGCACTTGGCAATAATCGAGCTATATAGTGGACCACACAGTCCAGTGATCAACATCATGAGCATCGATCTACGCAATTGGGAACTGATGACATGTATCAACCACGTCAACGAGCCGATCCCTTAAGTCGCCTCTTACAACAAGCATGGGTTGCTGAAGATCAATTCTAACCCGGATCTTCACGGGTGCTTGAGATGGGAGATTCAGACACTAACCAGGGCCACGTGTGCAGGGATCATTATCAATTAATAAATGGTATTCTGTAACCTTCAGATACAGGTTTAACTAACAGCCATATGTTTGTCCCTCTTGCCAAGTTCTGTCCCCTCCCCATGGAGCCCAAACTGTGTGCTATTTTCATTCAGTAATGGGCCATGTCCAGCCATTGTCTTATAGTAGATCCGTGAAGGTCCGGGTTAGAATTGATCTTCAGTAACCCATGCTTGTCATAGGCGGCGACTAACGGGATCGGGTGGTCAGGCTCGCTGACTTGGTTAACACTTGTGATCGGTACCCAGTTGTGCATATCGATGCTCATGCTGTTGGATATCATTGGATTGTCTGGTCGAGATTATTTACAGACCGCCACCATATAACTGGAATATTGCTGAGTGCGGCGTAAAACTAAACTCACTCTCTCACTCGCTCTTACAGTATTTTCGTGGATTCATTTTATGAACGATAGAAGGCAAAATTGCAAAAATTATCTGTAACGCCCAAACTAACGTATTTAGTAAGCGGACGAAAAACAATACTTGCCTCAACTAGTTCTTCAGCACAGAAAGGACTTACCAAAGTAAAATAGGTTTTACAGACACGGGCTCAGCTGCCGTTAGTCGACTAGAGACATAATACGCCGTTCTGATCACTGGTTGTTTGAAGGTCCTTTCTGATACAAAGGAATGACATTCGCGTTATGAATTATGCTTTAAAAACACCCCTGCCCTATCAAAGTGTTTTAACAATTGAAACGCACAATTTTGTTTTGCAGAAAAAGCTGCCACTTCATGCAAATTACTTGTTTTGAACAGCGACCATATGCAAATGGAGCTCATAATAAATATTGTGCTGTTGCATACCAACTTACTTCGGGGTAGATGTTATGCTGAAGCTCTATATGTTCACTTCCGCTTTGCTCAGTGTATTTGCAATCCTCGCTTTCTGTTTGCAGTACAATGTTGATATGTAAATCAGAAAAAAAAACAATTATCTATTTCTTAGGCGTCACATAATCTGTAAACTTCAATTCTCTGCACAAATGCTTATATTTCCAAACGTTCTTGCCACTTAGTTGAAACTATAGGACAACCGGAATTCAGTCCGTAAAAGAGTGAGTGAGTGAGTGAGTTTAGTTTTACGCCGCACTCAGCAATATTCCAGCTATATAGCGGCGGTCTGTAAATAATCGAGTCTGGACCAGACAATCCTTTGATCAACAGCATGAGCATCGATCTGCGCAATTGGGAACCGATGACATGTGTCAACTAAGTCAGCGAAACTGACCACCCGATCCCGTTAGTCGCCTCTTACGACAAGCATAGTCGCCTTTTATGGCAAGCACATGGGTTGCTGAAGACCTATTCTACCCCGGATCTTCACGGGTCAGTCCGTAAAAAGAGAACAGGGTGTGAAACCACCAAACAAAAAATACATGTAGATGTGGTCAAGCTTCCAAAACAGGCATCCATTGAGGGTTTTTAACCTTTTTTGAACTACTGTTAACTGGGGTATATAATGTTGCATCAATCTCTGAAATTGACTCTTGTCGGCACAGATGAGTGAGTGAGTTTAGTTTTAAGCCGCTTTTAGCAATATTACAGCAATATCCATCTACACCAGGAATGGGTTTCACACATTGTGCCCATGTGGGGAATCGAACCCGGGTCTTCAGCATGACGAGCGAACGCTTTAACCACTAGGCTACCCTAACTAAACTAAAACTCAGAACCGACTGGGTGCTCACACCAAAAACGACTATATCGCATTGTAAGTGCGTTTGTTTTGTATGATCTTTCTTATTTCGCTTGTGGATGACGTCAAGTCCAAGGTCATATTCGTGATAATATATGATTCAAAATAGACGTGGCTATTTATTTCAAAACATAACGCTTCATTGACGTCTACACCGGTTCGATAATGGGGTTGAACGTGACGGATGACAATGAAAAAGTCGCGTGTAAAAAAAACTATTTATCCTTGATCTTCAACTTTCAGCAAATGACGACAAGAAAATCACGAAGCTATTACTACCGGAAATTTGATTAGCGGAGCGAGTTTAACATTTATGCATTTGTAAAAGAAAAAGTGTGACCCTTCATTTGTCGT